ATGGTTGGTGGTCACCATAATACAGCGTGAGGAACTGTATTAAAGAGTCACAGCATTGGGAAGGTTGAGAACCACCGTTCTATTCTCTTCAGAGACAGGGTTTCTCTGTGTCGACTTGGCTGTCCTGGATTGGCACTGTAGACTAGGATGACCTTGAACTCACAGGAATCCACCTGCCTCTGCCTCCCGAGTGCTGAGATTAAAGGTGGTGCGCCACTCCCTGACTTTGAGACACACTGTTTCAGACCATACAGTGATTAGATTTTGTTTTGTACTGGGGATCCAAACCAGAACCTTAGCCACGCCAGGCAAGGGCTCTACCACTGAGCTATGTCATAACCCAGGTTGGTGTTTTTTTTTTTTTTTTTTTTTTTTTTTTTTTTTTTTTTTTTTTTTTTTGGCTTTGGGGAATTCCCTGGCTGTGCAGATAGATGCATGGGTTAGGGATAGAAGTTTATGCATCGTTAACTTAAATGGCAATCCTATTGCACACCAGAGGTCCAGTAAAAATCAATGCTGGGTAAGGCAGCACAGGTCTGTAATTGTGCACTGGATGGCTGAGGAAGGCAGACCACTGGGAAATTGAAGTCAACTAGGGCACATAATGAGTTCTAGGCCAGCCTGAGCTTCATAAAGAGATCATGCCTCAGAAACAACAGACAATAATAATAATAATAATAATAATAATAATAATAATATAACAATAGAATAATAATAATATTATTATTTACCAAAAGGCTCTTATTTCAGGGAAACTGCAAAAGTAATGTTTTATTTAGATTCCTGGTCAAGGAAAATGCATCCTAGTCATGTGGCCATTCAGTACCTTTAATCCCAGAACTCAGGATGCTAAGGCAGGGAGATTGCCACAGATTTGAGGTCTGTTGTATATAATGAGGTCTAGGCTACAGGGTGAGGCTTCCCTGTATGAAATGTGTGCTAACGGAATTGTGCCAGTGTTTTTCCTGAACCGCACATTGTGAGTACCAGGAAATCCCCAACACTACCTGAGCTGTGGTGATATTTTGAGTCAGCAGGGTGACTGAGGGGCTTAAATCCCCAGGGGTCATCAATGAACTAACGGGCGGAGCAGGGAAGATCATGGCTAGTGAAATAAATGGAATAGCTGAAACTGTCGAAGATAAACTCGGAGGCAGAGAACAGGTGATGGGAGCTAGTCAGTCACCTTTCTCCGCTTCCCGGCTTTCCCATCCTCTGGCCCTGTCTCTCTGTCTCCTCTTCTCTCCTTCTACTACAACAGGAGGGTTGTGGTTACAGGGAACCTCACCACATGGATGGCTCTTGATACAGAGTATGAGAGGTGGCTGGTTTCCATATTAGCTACCCACGTGAACAGCTTAGGGTTAGAGTTTATTAAAGATCCTACAGCTAAATCGACATTGGCTGCCTGTTTTCAGCTGAGCTGCGCTGTGCTGTTCCATTTATTCAATTTATAGAAGACTTTAGCCTGTTTTAAACAGCTCAGTGATGGAAGTTCCAGCCCAAGACTCCAGCCTTATCCCTCCTGGCCTAATTCCAGAGCCTCAGAACCACACAGCTGGACCGCTTGTCTGTGTTACCTTTGCCTCTGTTGGCAAGGAGCATCAGCGACATGAGTCAAGAAATCAGGACACATCTCAACGTTAGGAGAAGTTCTCTCCTTCAGTCTGCCTGACCAGGGTCAACAGGAGTGGGTGTCCCTCAGGGACTTTAAGAAACTAGAAGATAGAGCCGTGAATTTGGGACGATATGTTTTTCTTTCAACAAGGAATCTTGTGCCATGATGTTAAAGTAACAAACTTCTGAACATCGTGGCAAACACCAACCTGATGATGCACACACTAATTATAAATGAAGGCAACCTGAGAATGCATGCCCTAATTCTATTAGAAATGAAAACAACTTGGTCATGAGCACACTGATTTTATTATAGATCAAAAGAGCTCGTAAGCAGGCAGCGGTGAACAGGAAAAAAAAATACATTGTGGAAGTTGATGGCTGCGTGTTTTAAAAATTAGTTGGTATAAATCCATAATGTGACAGCAGCAAAGCACGGCTGCTTCTTCACTGTGGCTCAGGGGAGCACTGAACTCTCCTTTCTCTGCATGGATTCGCTCTTACCCGATAGTAACCTAGCTCAGCCTTTTTGTTTTTCTCCCCTTTTCTTAGAAACAGATTCTTTTCTCATAAAACATAATCCGAATATAGTTCCCCTCCCTCTGCTGCTCCAAGTCCCTCCCCACCTCCTCTCCCACCCAGATCCACTCACATTTTCTGCCTTTCATTAGAAAAGAACAAGCTTCTTCTAAGTGGTAACAACCAAAGATGACAAAATAAAATATGAGATGCAACAAAAGCCATCATGTCGAAGCTGAACAATGCAAACCAACAGAGGACACGAGCTCAAGAGAAGGCACAAGAATCAGAGACCCATTAGTTCACATATTAATTAGGTAGGAGTCCCATAAAAACCACTAAATTGAAAGCTATTGTGTGTCTGCCCCGTGCCTGCTGCTTTGGTCTCTGCTGAGTTCACAGGAGCGATGCTCAGTTGATTTATACGGCCTTGTTCTGGTGTCCTCCATGCCCTCTGGCTCTTTCGCTCTTTCTGCCTGCTTTTCTGGGGTTCCCTGTGTGGTGAGGGGAGAGATTTGATGGAGACATTTCATTTAGAGCTATATGTTCTGAGGTGTGGATCTCTGTCTGTCTGTCTGTCTGTCTGTGTCTCTGTCTCTGTAATGTCTGGCTGTATTTCTTCTCACTTGCTGCAGAAAGAAGCTCTTTTGATGCTGGCTGAGCACTCACAGGTTTACAGGAACAGCTAAATGTTGTTAGGAGTCATTTTATTGCTTTGTTCCTTCAGCACAACGGTAGCGTTTGGTTTTACCCTGGGACTCTGGACTATCTAGTCTCTGGCTGTTGGTCACCCAGGCATGGCGTCAGTCTGTGGAGCCAGCCTAAATCAAATCAGACATTGTTTGGTCACTTCCGCAAGCTTTGTGCCATCATTGCCACCGTAGCATATTTTGCAGGCAGGACAGATTGTACATCAGAGGTTTTGTGTCTGGGTTGGTGTTTATGTTTCTCTTTTGGTAGCCTGTCCCATACCAAAAACCCCAGAACATGGAGGTGAAGGTTCTATGCAGGCCTCCCGGCTTAATCTCTCCATGTTCAATGAGTTGTGTGGCTGCTGCCTTTAGGAATGAGCCTTGCTGTCGGTTTGTAGAGAGCAACCTATTATTTTGGCAATAGCCCAGGTTGTTTGGGGCTCTTGTTGTTTGGGACCCCTTTGGCCAACAACTCAATTGGATATAACCCAGTCCTGGTATTGGAAGCTTCATTTGGTGACAAGAGCTGGCCAGTTGGGACTTTGTCTCCCTCATTATTTGGCGACTGCGTTAGGATCACCTTCCTATACTGTAGGAAGCTCCCACTGCAGTAGGTTTTCATATCACCCCTCATATGCCCCCCAATTCTAGTGTGTCTCCCTGCATTCCCTCCCTCAACCCTGTCTCCCCTCCTCTTCCTCACCTGATCCTCCCTGCCCCCCATGCCCAGTTCACCTTTAAAACTTAGTATATGTCTCCCAGGGAGATAGATCCATGTGTCCCTCTTAGCCCCTTCCTCTGTACATAACCTCTCTCTGTCTATGGGTGTAGCTCGGCTATCATTTATTTAATGGCTAATATCTGCACACAAGCAGATACATACCATATTTATCTTTCTAGGTCTGGGTTACCTCACTCAGGTTGACTTTTTTTTCAACTTCCATCCATCTGCCTGCAAATTTCATGATGTCATTTTTTGTTTTGTTTTCACAGCTGAGTAATACTCTATAGTATGAATGTACCATGTTTTCTTTATCCATTCTTCTGTTGAAGGACATCGAGGGCTTTCCCCCCCTCCCAGTTTTTGGCTATTATGAACAGACCACAATGAATATGGCTGAGCAAGTGTCCTTGCGGTAGATCAGTTCCTATCTTCCTGAGTAACATTTCCATATTGGCTGTATGAGTTTGCATTCCCACCAGCAACTAAGGAGTGTCCCCATTGCTCCACATCCTCACCAGCATGTACTGTCACTTGTGTTATTGACTTTTGCCATCTTGACAGGTGTAAGACGGAACCTCAGTGTGTCCTCGCTGAAGTTCAAAATCCAAGTAGACACAGCCGAGCTGAGTCTTTGTTATGGCTAGCAGGAAATCTTTTTTTGGTTTCCCCATTTTGGTTAGCCTCAGAAAGTCACAATATAAGTGAAGGTAAAGGGGTGGGAGTGGACTAGAAAGAGTCTCTCTAACCCTAACTAAAGTTGAGTGGATTCCTTCATGACCTCCACTGAAGCACATTTCCTTTTTTACATGGGACACTTCTTTTTATTTTAAGACAAGATTTCTGTCTGTGTCTTGACTATCCTAGAACTCATGTAGGCCAGGCTGGCATAAGAGACCCTTCTGCCTCTGCCTTTCTAGTGCTGAAATTAAAGGTGTGTGCCACCACACCTAGCTAATTATTATTATTTATTTAAGAATTTCTTTTGGTATCTTTTTTGTCATATTTTTTCTCATCACCAACTCCTCCCCACTGAAGTCTTCCTTCCTTCCCTCCTTCCTTCCTTCTTTCCTTCCTTTCTTTCTTTCTTTCTTTCTTTCTTTCTTTCTTTCTTTCTTTCTTTTCTTAGCAGGGGGTAGGGGGTTGTCATTCAAGACAGGGTTTCCCTTAACTAGCTCTGTAGAAGAACTCACAGAGATCTGCCTGCCTCTGCCTCCCAAATGTTGGGACTAAAAGGCATGTGCCGTCACCACCCAGCTTGAAGCATATTTCTAAAGAACTCTGCATGATGACAAGTAGCTGTGTACCTCTAAAACACAAAGTGGAAAGAAACTAAAGGCATCTCAATGCCCAGAAAGCATGTGGTTGTTTATAGTTTAATAAGAGGTATAGTTGCTTACTAGAGAAACACAACTTTTATTCTTTTCAAAGAAAGACAGCAATCCCTACCATTCACAGTATGACAAAGGAAAGGAACAAAGTACATGTTTTTCTCAAAAGCAAAATCACAGAAAACAGATTGAAAGATGTGCATAGATTTTTTTTTTCAACATTTGTATTTGGTGGGCAAGAGCAGCTTACATTTAAAATATTGTCACCGATGAAATAGATAAAACCAAATGCACAGGAAAACACACATCTCAACCCTCTTAGAACGCCTCAGTGGGAAAACTGCATGACTAACTCAGAAAAGATCAGTGTTCTTACCAGCTCCCACAGTGCAGAAATGTTTACATCTCACGAATGACCCCATCTTTTAAAACGAGCAAACAAGATGGTACATGGAAACATTTTCTTACATGTTTATGCACCCTCTTGTATTTGGGGAAAGGAATGTCTATTTGCATGAGAAATTCTCGGAGGAATGTTTTACTACACATAGATGCTTTTGAGCCCAGCGCGGGGCTGGCCCCAGTAACAATGCGTCCATTATAGCCGTAGAAGGTAAGGCCGGCTGTGCACACACACGGGCACGTGACTCCTAAGAGAGAAAATGTTTTCATAGCCAAGCAGAACAGTTAGGCATATCAAACCTCCTGTAAGGTTCTGGAACCCGGTGGTAAATGGATGCATATTCCGAGATAGGAGAGGGTCAGGCTCCTGACACACAGTTTGTACTTCACTGGTTTCCGGTTGCCAGTCACTTTTTTTTTTCTTTTTTCAGGACTTCACATGTTTCGGTGCTTTAAAGAACTATTTTTTTCTATTTTCTGTGATGGAAAAAAAAATGAAGAGTTTTATTCCCTGGGCTGTTCTGTTTCCTCAGTAATTAAGAGCTGACCTGCAGAAGCAGCAGAGCAGGAAAAGGATGTTACTATAACCCAGGACCTCTTAACTGAATGCTTCGTGGAGATTCTGTGCTCCAGAGCTCTCGTGGGCAGAGCAAAGGCTAACTCGGAGGTCTGGAAGCCTACCTGTCGTATAAGACGTGCTTGCTTTGAGCTGGGGTCCAGGCACCTCTGTCCTTTCTGTGCTTTCAGGGTAACGCTGTTAAGGAAGACACAAGAATGTCTTAAGCACAGGTGGGAAAACATCCACAAAGCCAAACCACCCCCACCCCTGTCATCTCCAGCGAGCCATTACTCACATCACTTCAACCTTGTCACAGCCGTTGCTGGGGTGAATTACGGAAACCCTCTCAATGTCTGCCTTTCTGACTGCTTTTGCTCCAGGGCCTATGCAAAGACAGCGCCCCCCTTTGAACATAACGAAGCCTAGAACAGATCGCAGCACCGGTTAGTCATGGCTGTGGACTGCTGCCCTGCGAGTAGGTGGCAGACACATTTCTGTTCATCCCATTTGTGCAGATTGAAATTAAGCTTTGAATCTCCTGTAACAGTCCCTCTGCGTTATGCTGATTTACTGTATTCATTCCTCAGTTTTTATTAATGATTTAATTTAGGTTTCAGACAGAACTCACTTGCCGTTTGGCCCAGGCTTGTGTCCAGCTCACCATGAAGCCCAGGAGGACCTTGAACTTGAAGCTCTACATTGCAGGCCCCATATCTCAGTGTTACCCTAGTCACCTCAGCCTCCTGTGTGCTGAAATTACGTGCGGCATGGGTGTGCCACCAGCCTGGCACGGGATTACTGAATAGCAACCACACAACAACAGCGAGCCAGAGAGCAAAGTGGCTGCTTTCTTCTCTATTTGTTTTATTTAATGACTGATTGACTGGGTGTACAAACTTAGCTCACGGTCACTGGTGACCTGCTGTTTACTAAATGAGCAAATAGTTAATAATTCTTTTGATTTTTGTCTCTCCAAGTTCAGATTTTAGACTAACACTGAATATCATAAATCCAGTCATTCTCCCCAGCTAAGATTATCTTTGAAACCTTTGAAACCAGATGTTCCCCGGGGAAGCCACAAATATTCGTTATCCTGTTAGACCAGTGAGAGGTCTTAAAATGGCTAGGGTTGTGTTATGGACTTGCTATTTCTTGATTAGCCCAGATCTGCAGTGATAAATCAGGTATGAACTGCCAGGTCACAGGAGACGCAGCTCTAGGTTCAGTTTGCAGGGAAATGTTAATAATGTTTCAGTTTTCTTTGGGGGAAGGCCTATGGAGAGTTGTCAGCATTCATACTACCTTTGAAACATTCTTGTTCCCGAGCGAGGTATTTGCTCAAACACATGAAATTAGTGGGACCATCTCCCCAGAGAGAAGTTTTCTTTTCTCGATTCTGACAGTATCACTTATAATAAATTAGTAGTCTCGTGGTTAAAACACTCATTTTTCCAGGACACCAACACAATCTCGTATAAGATTCTCCAAGCATACACTGAGAGCCAAAAGCTCTTGCTAGATAATTGTCAGGAAATGAAGAAATCCATAAAGTTTTTATCACCCATGAAATAAAATAATCATTTTATTTAAAGATTTCTAACATTTGCTGTCATTGCTAGAGCTTCTAATGTGTGGAATTAAATGATTTGACTGGATATTTTAGAGAAAAGACATTTGAAAACTAACGAAGTGGCCATTCAGGCTCACATACCTTGCACAGCTGTCGCACAGATGATCAGAGCCAAGACTATGGCCATGCCCTTGGTGTTCATCTCGGCTTCTGCTGCTGCTGCCTCCTTGCCTTGGCTTTGATGCTCTTTGCAGAGAACAGCAGGAAGGCTGAACCAGAGGAGCCTTGGAAGCATTTTATAGACCAGCAATCCTTGCAGAAGCAGGAATTTCCCTTCTTGACTCATGTAGCTTTCTTGCTTCCTCGAGTTTCTGATTTGTCCTGATATCAGTGCCTGTGCCTCCTCCTGTCTGCTGGAGTGAAGAAAGTGACTGGAATGTGAAAGTTCTTGGGGCCTAGAGTGCTGTATGCGCAGTAGCTCGCTCACGTGGGAAGTGGGGGTCTGTGGGTGATCCCCATTAGAAATGCCTGTGATTGCCTAGTGACTGTGGGCCATGGGTCCCACAGGCTCAGGAAGACCTTCTGGGTTCCAGGCAGCACATCCTCCTTCCCTCATATAACTAGACAAAAGGACACTCGGTTAATGCATGCTAGTTCATACCCGGTGACCTTCATCTAACTTTACATTGTATTCCGATTTCATGTGTAAAATACTCTCCCTATACCTGTGCATTTCATCTATTTCTTCTTCCTTCTTCTTCTTTTTAAAAGCATCTCTTAGTGCATATACTTAAATACATTTGAATACATTCTATTAAGAACTCTATATTAAGAACTCTAAAAACAAAATCATTGTCTCTTCTTGTTCCTCTTAAGTTTTCTGAGTCTGTTTTAGGTGTGTCACTTATAAAAACCTAGTGGATTCAAATCCAGGGAGTTGTTTTTTTTTTTTTAAAGAACATTAGGCTGCTGCTGCTGCTGGTGGTGGTGGTAGTGGCGGTGATGGTTGCGGTGGAGGTGGTGATGAGGGTGATGGAGGTGGGTGGAGGTGGTGATGGAGGAGGTGGAAGTGTTAGTGATGGTGGTGGAGGTAGTGGTGATGATGGTGGTGGTGGAGATGGGGGTGGAGGTAATGGTGGTGGTGATGGCGGAGGTGGGAGTGTAGGGGGTGGAGGTGATGATGGAAGTGGTGGAGGTGGGGGTGGAGGGTGTGGAGGTGGTACACACCTTTAATACCAGCACACAGGAGGTGGAGGCAGGCAGATCTCCATGAATTCAAGACCAGCTTCATCTACAAAACAAGTTCTGTATTTGTGGATAGTTTAGGAGAGATTGCAGGAACAAAGACACGTAAAAACAAACAAACAAACAAACAAAAAAGGTCCTCCCTCTTCCTCCCTAAGGCTGACACGGATGGTCTGCAGGGTGGCTGCTGTTACCCTGTGTCCTCCTAGAAGTGGAGGGGCTGTGCCCACAGCATGCACGTGGCCGTGCCTGCTTTCCCCTTGGAGAGAAATCACAGCGAAAACGCTGAGGAAGGTGTAGTTGAGCCTGCACTTCTGGTCTTCGGATACTAGATGTGGGAACAGGAGGAACCGGGAGAGGGGCTGCTTCTGTACGAAACTTTCTTACCTGATTTCCTGTGCCTAAGGAGAAGCCCAGCTGAAGGGCCAGGTGTTCTCGCCCTGTTCCTGTCACTCATCCAGGTTCCTGGAAAGCGCCACCCTTTACGGCAGCTCAACCAATGTCCCTTCATGTTCACGTGTGTGTGGCACAGCCCTGGCATTCTTACAAGTACAGTAACCAGATCCCTTCCTGCGCGCTGCGGACGGTGTTGCCCTTCTCCTCGCACACAGGATTTCTGCTGGCTCTGCAGACACGTGGGGCAGGAGGGGTCTGTAGGACTGGTTCTGACTTGTTCCCTTCGGAAGAAGCGTGTTCTGCGGTATTGCAGGAGAAAGGTGTTCTTTCAGAATGTCCCTCAAGTCACCTGATCTCTCTCTGGAAAATTTGGTGCATCTGACCAGAAATGTTTAGTTCATCTCCTGTTCTGAGCCCATTAAGTCACCATATCTTATCTTTATGCTCTTTTTTTTTTTTTTTTTTTTTTTTTTGATGTGTTCTCTTGCAGTGGAGCTTAGGTTTGCCTAACTTGTGACTATCCTCCTGCCTCATCCTTTCAAATGCTGAGAATATAGGCATGGTTGGGATTTACTTATTTTTAAATAACATCTTACTATTCATATAACATAATGATTAAGTCTTCTAATTGTATAGAACTGACTGTCCTTGCCTTGCTTATACAGGAGTAATGTAAACTGCCTTCTTAAACTTCTAGCAGCCATATTTTAAAAAATAAAAATAACTGAAAATGATTTAAGCAATATATTTTATGTAATTCAAAACATAAAGGATTGTTTCACTGCCTAAATGAGCATTAAATGACATTTAAATTTTTGTATTCTTAAGTGTTCAAATTGAACCAGTCACATGCCAGACGTGGCTCAGTGATTATTTGGCTTAGGAGCTGCCATACTGAACAGGAGGACCTCGTTAGCATGCGTGTCCCCATGTTTGGTACATACTGGCTGCTGTGAGGCCATCTAAAACAGTCGAGGGTGAAGGACAACAGATGCCACGATGTTGCCTTTCGGAAACATCTCTAAGGTTCCCTAACAGTTTTCTGTTCGCTGTGCCTTGCATCTCATTGCTCTTTTCTTTGAGTAAAGTGAAAACAAGATTAAACTATGTTTTTCTAAATATATTTTTTTATTATTTTAAATTATGCATTCACATGTGTGTCTTCATGGGGCTTGTGCTTGGGAGAGCAAGTGCCCTCAGAGGCCAGCATAATCAGGACACCAGGAGCTGGAGTTACATGTGGGTCCTGAGCCCCTAAGATGAGTGCTGAGACTTGAACTCAGGTCCTCTAGAAGAGCAGTTTATTCTCTTAACCACTGAGCCATCCATTCATCCTCCTAAACTACATATTCTGTCCTTCCAGTATCATTGGCTTTTTGGTGTTATCTCTCAAGTTACACTGTTTTGTTTGTTTGTTTGTTTGTTTGTTTGTTTGTTTTATGTGTGTGTGTGTGTGTGTGTGTGTGTGTATTCCAGGTCCACCTAGTCAAAGTTTCCCCTTGAATTTAAAGGAATATCCCAGGAAATGGATTTAATTTCCATCTTTTTTTAAAAAAATATATAATCTGTATGGACTACTGAGTTTTCTGTTTCTATGATAAAACACCATGACCAGAAGCAACCTGGGAAGGGAAGGGTTGATTTCTGTCTACGGGTCACAGTCTCTCATGGAGGGAAGCCAGGGCAGGAACGCAAGCAGAACTGAAAGCAGAGGCCGTGGAAGGACGCTGCTCACTGGCTTGTTCCTTGCTTACTTTCTTATCCAACCCAAGGCTACCTGCCTGGGGAATGGCTCTGCCCACGGTGGGCTGGGCCCTCCTCCCATCCATCAATAATCAAGACAGACATGACCACGGGCCAATCTGATGGATGCAGTTTTTCTGTTGAGGTTCCCTCTTACCGGGTCATGCTAGGTAGTCTCAAGCTGACAATGAGAAACTAATCACACAGTGTGACCCATTTGGACTTTCAGTAATGCCTTCAAATGATTCAGTTAATGTAGACTTTAAAATGCTGGGGCTGAAGGTGTCACTCAGGAATAGACCCTTGCCTCGTATATCTGTGGGCTCTGTGGCTGAGCCCTAGAATTCCCAACAGTTTTTGAGTTTGGAGAGATAAATGCAAGTCATCTAAGTTTAATGTTAACCCTTCTATAAGTTTCAGAAATACATACTGAGTCTCTGCACATGATGTTCATACCAAGGATGTTTTCTTCAGTTCAGTTAGTGAAAAGTGGGCTGGAAATGGAAACTACAACGTTTCCGTTTATTAGAAACCAGCGTGAGGAAACAGAATCCTGTTTTAAGTTTACAGAAGGCAGATGACTCACTACCGGGGCAGAGATCGCCAGAAGGCTAAAATAACATGCCCAGACTGAAGACAGTGATTTCCAAACCCAGATCCTTAAGCTGTGGTAGGCAGCACGGCACCTGTTTTCCTCTTGCAGAGCAATGCAGTTGTTTTAGGGAGCTGTTGATGACTTTTCTTTATTGCTAAGACAATAACACTGTGACTTCCTTATAACATGAAAGTACTGGCCCAGAAGTCAGAAAAACCCTACACTTTGTGTTCAAAGTGTCAGTCAGACCCCGAAAAACGTCACAGCGAAGGAAACCAATAGAAACTAGAAATAAATTGAAACCCAGAGGTCCACGAAAGCACTGAAGAAACTGTGCATTTTATTGCTGCTGAAAAGAGCTCCGGGGTGAGGATGAATTTTTGAATAAAGCTGTTTCCGAATCTAAGCTTAACCTTCTGGTAATCTGACGTTAGAAAAACGTTTTCAAAAGCTGCCTTCTGCCTGTGTCATCTGGCATTAGAAACAGATCTGCCAGGGTTCACATCTTATAGGCACCTTTTGGCATTAGATAGAGGCTGCCCCAGACAGTCCAGCATGCGTGTGCACAGAGACGAGGGCCAGTTTCAGTGGTCACCACGGTCTGACTGACCCCTCATGCTTGAGGAACCACTGTGAGCCATCTCCATCCCCGAGCCAGGAGGGATGGAGGCAAAACTGTGGCTCAGTGCAGGAAAACAGTGCTGAAGTCTGCGCTGAACTCCGGTGCTAGAGGGAAGTGTGTCTGAACGGTAGAGAAAGAGAGACAGCTTTTGGCTTCCAGTGATCGGAGATTTGAAAAGCTGTTCGTGTGTGTGTGTGTGTGTGTGTGTGTGTGTGCATGTTCACATGTCAGTGGAAGCACACGTGGACGAATGTGGAGGTCTGAAGCTGGTGTTGAGCGTCTTCCTGCACTGCTCCGTTTTAGTGACTGAAGCAGGTTCTCGCACTGAGGCCAGAGCTTGCCAACTGCAGCTAGTATAGTTAGCCAGCTTGCCGTGTTATGCCCCTTATGTGCCTCCCAAGTGCTGGGACAGTGGGAGCGCTGTCATGTCTGCCTGGCTGTTGTGTGGGTTCTGGGATGCGAACTGCAGTCCCCACAGTCCCCAGGCACGGTAACTGAGAGTGGGGTCTGCCGCACCGGTTCTCGCTGGTCTCGTGTTGGCTAGCCAGCTCAGCTTGTTCCCACCCTTAGTGGACTCTAACTGGCTGGGTTAAGTCTACTGTCTCTTTTCCTGGGTTAAGCTGTCGGCATTTACTAAGCTCTATGCTTTCCTTCCTTTTGGAAATTGGTTGAGTTTGAGCTAC